TTCTGGGGAGATCAAGAGAACAGTGACCAGAGTGTTGCCAGAAGTGGATCTGGATGCTGGGAAGAAGCCTTCTGAGCAGGCAGCATCTGTGATGGCATCTGTGACATCACTTCTCTCATCTTCAGCAACAGCCGCTGTCCTTTCCTCTCCCCCCAGGGCACCTCTGCAGACAGCCATGGTTACCAGTGCAGTGTCCCCTGCAGAGCTGACTCCCAAACAGGTCACCATCAAGCCCGTGGCAACTGCTTTCCTTCCTGTGTCTGCTGTCAAGACAGCAGGGTCTCAAGTCATCAATCTGAAGCTTGCTAACAACACGACAGTGAAAGCCACAGTCATATCTGCTGCCTCTGTTCAGAGTGCCAGCAGTGCCATTATCAAAGCTGCCAATGCCATCCAGCAGCAAACCGTTGTGGTGCCAGCATCCAGCCTGGCCAATGCCAAACTCGTGCCAAAGACTGTGCACCTTGCCAACCTTAACCTTCTGCCTCAGGGTGCCCAGGCCACCTCTGAACTCCGCCAAGTGCTAACCAAACCTCAGCAACAAATAAAGCAGGCAATAATCAATGCAGCGGCCTCCCAACCACCTAAAAAGGTATCTCGAGTCCAGGTGGTGTCATCCTTGCAGAGTTCTGTGGTGGAAGCTTTCAACAAGGTGCTGAGCAGTGTCACCTGTTTCCATCCCAACCCTCAGCCCTCCCGCCAATGCAGGGATCACGTTACCGATGCGTGGGTATAAGTGCTTGGAGTGTGGGGACTCCTTCGCCCTGGAAAAGAGCCTGACCCAGCACTATGACAGGCGTAGTGTGCGCATCGAAGTAACGTGCAACCATTGTACAAAGAACCTTGTTTTTTACAACAAATGCAGCCTCCTTTCCCATGCCCGAGGGCATAAGGAGAAAGGAGTGGTGATGCAGTGCTCCCACTTAATTCTAAAGCCAGTCCCAGCAGACCAGATGATAGTTTCTCCGTCTAGCAATACTACTTCTTCTTCTCTGCAGAGCTCTGTGGGAGCTGGTACACACACTGTAACAAAAATCCAGTCTGGCATAACTGGGGCGGTTATTTCAG